TATATAGCGCCATATCACAACAAAGTTGCCTCAGGGCACTTCACAGGAACATTCACATGTATAGAAAAGCGAATTCGTAAAGTTCTCTATCTAACGAAGCAGCAGACACGTTGAACCTTCACTTCGTCGCAGTCTCCCATCCCGAGCAAGCACAGCGGCAACAGTGGAAAGGAAAAACTCCATTTTGAAAGGAAGAAACCTCCAGAATCTTGACACGAGCGAGAAAAAACCTGAACAAAGCCTCACATGAAACGTTGCACAGATAGCCGACGCGGATCAGACCAAACGAATCTACTTCAGCTGCTTTTGTCAAAAACTCCGGGTTCAAAAGTCGTTATAAAAGCTGGTAAAACTAAGTTTCCACAGCGGCTCAAACGTGAAGCAGCTCAGCCTCCTGGACAAACCTGGCTCTGTCTTCATGGTTTTTATCAAGAACTGTTCAAAAGCAGAAATCGCACAACGACCAACTACACCGTTGGCAAACATTTACTTCAATGTTCGTTCTGTGATTTGTTGAAAACCTACCAGGTTCTGTGCGTGGACAAATCCTGCCGGAGGGAAATCTCCTCCAGCACGTTCTGCACGCAGCTGGACTCGATCATCTCGATGCAGATCTGAGGGCAAAATAAAATCAAACCATTTAACAAGTGCAAATGTGAGGATTAGGACTCGTCAAACTATTGGATATATGATTAATAGATAATGTTTTTTTTATTGTTTTTAAAGGAACTCGTGACTGCAAAGGTGATGACGAAGATGAAACAAGCGGAAGAAGAAAAAGGTCAGATAAATGTAAGTTTAAAGGTTTTGTTTTTCAGGGACCATCAGTTGGGACATGGTCGGCTTTGGAAGCTTCATGTGAAAGGATGCACATCGCCCCCTCCCCCCCAAAGCTGCTTAGCCATTGATAAGTGCGACTCCACTCAGCTCTCGTATTATCAGTTCTCGGGTGGAGGTGGTTTGCTGCCACTGTGACTTGTTTCCCTGCTCTGTGGGCGGGATCCTAACTGGTCATTGTGTTCGAGCCACTCCACCCATTGTGGTCCTTCATCTCCTGATGATGAGACTTTAACTTCTTTATCTTGTCTCGACACTGCTTCTAAGTCCGGCTGTAAGCATGAAGCTCCATCATCTCCAAAATCTCTCTGTAACGTGTAAATGTGTTAATTTCTTGTAGCGCCGTCCGTCCTCACGATGAGGAAGTGGTGCTGAGTCGTAGCTCCGCTGGCCAATCAACGGCTGCAGTCTGCATATTCATAAACTCAGAACAGTCCACTTGGAACCTGAAACAAGGTGGTCCCATAAACTGGGCTGAGTGGGGGGTACCAGCAGTGTTGTTAACCGGTGCCGTGTAGTGTCTGATGAGTTGAGACAGTGGAAAAGCACCGTGTATGTGTGTGTGTGTGCTAACAGTAATTACAGATCTGAACACGGAAAAAAACAAACAAAAAAAATTTTGAATTAAGCTTCGACTGCTTATAGTTATTAACAGTCGGCGGACAGGCATGGCTAAGGGGGCAGAAGACGTATGGGAGCTGAGGGGGTGTTTGTCCTTTCATGGCCGTCAAAGCACATTAAATGCTTCCCCTGCTTCTGCATTATTCAGACACGGACCCCGCTCTGACATACATTCAGCTTTTATTTATACAGGTTAATTCTTTTGATCCGTCGACATAAAGTGCTATGTGTTGTCATCATTGTATGTTCCCATACAAAGACGAAATTAGTTCTCTGCATTTAACCAATTGCACCAGGGATACACCCAGGTGGAGCAGTGGGCAGCTTTGTAAGCACCCGGGGAGCAATTTGGGATTGGGTGTCCTGCTCAGAGATACCACGAGATGTGCAATGACCAGGGATCGAACCCAGGGCCTTCGGGTCCAGAGTCGGGTGCCCTGCCCCTACACCATCTCGGCCGAATGTCAGATATTTTGGGATCTCACCTGTTTGGGGTCGTCGGCTGCGCACGTCCGCCGAGTGTAGCAGCTGAATGAACGTCCATTTGGGCGATGGATCGCTGGCTGTAGTCCATCTGAAGCTTAGCTGAACTTTTTATCTCTTTCAAGGCCGGGCAGCGCGCAGTCAAACGGCCGCGTGCAGCTGGTGATTGTATGGCAAGCCACGTGCCATATATTTGGATCGTACGCTGACGCAATTAAAAGCCCAACACCGACCCGGCCTGCACATTATTAGGACCGGCTCGGTCCTAATCTGGGTCGGGCAGAGCTGGGCTCCGGGTTCAGGTTAGAAATGACAGCTCTAACCGCAACCAAGAGCTGGTTTGAACATTCGTAATGGAGACGTAGAGAGAAATCTACAACTAAAAAGGTGCAGAGTCCAGGAAAGACACCAACTGGGAGAGGACAAAGTCATAAAATCTGTCAGAGACATGTTAGGGAGACAGATTTTAGATTAAGACTGGGCAACTCAGTTTCCTAAAGGGACTTTACGTCTAGATGTAGCCTCACACCAAAATGGACGTCGGTGCCTCACTCATTTCTCAAGTTATCGAGATCCCAAGACGGACGGAGTAAATCTCCAACTCCTTTCTTTGCTCTGGGACGGGGGACAAAAACCATCTTCGTCTTGTGGTGGCACTCGTTAATGAAGGTGGGTCCATTAACTTTGTTGACTTTTTAAGTATTTGCTGCAAGGATGAAAATGTTACTTAAAAAGCACTTCAGACTCCAGGAACTCAAAGTCTTTCTGCTTGCAGTTTACCTGCCTGAGTGAAGAGGGCGAACATGTAAACGAGGTGTTTGTGTAATCGTACCCTGTTGGCGAGCGACAGGAAGTTGACGAAACAAGCCATGGACGCCACTTCCTTCATGACCCTGGAGATGAGGTCCAGGCTGGTTTCAGAGAGCTCCACACACAGCAGCCGCTTCGCCAGAAACTCCAGACTGGGAACATACTGGGGAAAAAAAAAGTTTGGGTTAAAGAGGCGCGTTTCACAGCACGACGGCAAAATTTACTCAAATGTTTATTTTAATTAACGACTCACGGAGTTGCTCCATGTTATCAACGTTCTATACATGATTTCCTGAAAAAACAATAAAACAATAAACCGTACTTCAGAATATCTGGTAAACACATTTATAGAGAATGTGTAAAAAAATAAATATTTGATTTTTAGTCAACGTTGAAAAAGGGTTAAAAATTGGTTAATGTGGAAAACTTACATTTGTGAACTTTTAAAACATTTTAAACTAATTAAATCTCCCGAACAGAATAAAACATATTTAAGACGCACATTTGTCTATGTGAGTAAAATAAACCAGATAAGTCATTTTTATGTTAAATATTAAAACTCAAAGTCGAACTAATTATCCAGCAGATGTTTTGGACCAGTTATTCTGTTAACATTTAATTATTTCTTTGCTCATTTACCATCAAGACGGCAGAAAATATACCATAAAACAAATAAAATACATAAATCATCATTAAATTGAAGGTTTTAAAAGTGCATCACTTAAAAAAATACAGAATAAACGTGAGCAAATACATGAAATCTTTTAATATCGCAATTTCCAGACTATTGATTTGAAAATAAGCCACGCCCACACAAAAAAATAATAATAATATTGTACATATATAGATCACAAGTGTCTATGTTGTAACACGAGATATTTACACAGAACATATATTTTAAACTTTTAATTAAATACGTGTCGGTAACACACAAATACTTACAGGAAATGTTTTTGTTTTTTTAACAGTGCCACTAACATGGCTGGTTAAAAAATAAAATTAAATACAGTAGCCTACCCGGAAAAGTCACTGATCACTATGTATTTTTTTTCCTGAACAGTGCAGATAACACAGCTGGTAAAAAAAAATAAAAAATAAATAAAAACACAAGCCGCAGCATTGTATGAGTAGCGTAGTATTTAGTAGCGGCTTATAGTCCGGAAATTACGGTAATTGTTTAATATCCACAATATTTCTCCCCCAAATGACCAGAACCCACCAGAGCTTTGCGTAGATGAATTAATAGCATTAAATTTATTAAAGCCAGCGGTTTTTGTTACTCGTAGGTTAATCATTTTCACTGAAATGAACAAATACTGAGAATTATTCAGAGGCATCATCGTCTGCTTTGAATCTTGGAGGTTTTAAACGAAGCAAACCTCGGCACCCCCTCAGATAGTTTCCTCAGTTTCCGTACCTCGCTGGGTTTATGGCGTATGTCCTGCAGGACGAAGTGGACTTGGAGCGAGCAGCCCCCGACAGAAAACGGCTTCTTGACGTGATCGCGAACGAAGCTGCAGCACGCCTCCCGGCTGAAGAAATACACGAAGGCCTACAGGTGAGGAGAGCAGAGAAAAAATACGATAAATACTTTTATCGATGGGCCCCTTCACTGAATTGTCCCAAATATAATCCTAAGGGACGTTTTGAAGCTAACCCACCTACATTCCCTGAAGCTGATTTCAATACCAGCTGTGAAACCAGAAATCAAAATATGGTTTTTCATCAAGTAATCCACATTAAAATACTCTCAAATTAGGATTCAGACTAATTTATCATGACTAGAAAGACAAATCAAGCCATATCTCATTAAATTTAGGTCAAAATGTAGTTTTAAACCCTGAAATCTAAAAAAATATATTTATTTATTATGACCAAATAACATAATCCCTGGTTTGATGCGACGAGTCACATTTAGAACAGCGAGGATTCATTTGAGACAAATATTACAGATTCCTGACATTTACTGCAATACTTTGTAATATTGATTATGAACATGGAGGTGCATCGATGGAAAAAGATTAGCATCAGATAAATGTGGCCTGTGCTGGTAACATGAGTCAAAATGATCACGGGAAAAAACATTAAAAATAAAAAAAAAATAAAAAAAATATTCACGTTTGTCTCAACTGAGATTTGAATTAAAATTAGTCCAGAAAGACTCCGTCCAATGATCCTAGAATGTAAATCTGATTAGGCTGTCGCGATAAACAATAAATCAATTAATCGCATGATAAATTAAAATTATCGACCTCATTTTCATTTATCAGTTTTATCGTTTCTTTGTCTCTCTTTCTACTGAAGACACTGGATGACAAAAGGCTCAACTCCGGTTCTTCACTGACCTCTCCCTTTCTCTTTTCTATTTAAAATCAGTTTGAACGATAAAAAAATCCTGTTTTTAGATCGTTAAAAGCAGCTAAACTGAGAAGCTAAGCTACAAGCTAAGCTAACAGGCTGACCTCGGGGAAAACCTCCGTCTTGTCGAAACTCCAATATTCACGGTTGAAACCCGTGCTTTCGTGTAAAAAGTTGTTTTTCTCTGAAAAAAGAAGCTGAGAACTTGTTTACTGATTTTTCATTACGTTTTGTGTGCCAAATGCTAAAGAGCTCAAACAACACCGAGCGTCCGCCATTTTGAGAACCGAATAGACAGCCCATGTCACGTCAAGGGGCCTCCCTCCCATTTTTCTTAGAGACGCTCTCTCACTATCCATCTTTCTTGGTTCGGTCTTATACTGCCATCCGGTGGTCAAAAAAAGGTACTACACGCAAAACAAGTACATATTTATTCTTAAATTTGACAATAACTACTAATTATTGTCAAGTTTCAAACAATATTATCGTTTATCGCAATAATTTCTGACAATCGCCCAGCAAAATTTGTTATCGTGACAGGCCTAAATATGATTTATTTTTAATTTTCTTTTGGCTGCTCCCTTCTTCTGGGAAGAAGACTTGACAATAGTTTTTATGCCAGATGTCCTTCCTGACACAACCACCGAGCTACCACAGCCCTCTGTGTGGAGCAGAGGGCTGCCATGTAGGGCGACTGGGGGAGCCGATGGTGGAGGTTAAGCCTTGCTCAAGGGCCCAGAGTGGTGCAAATGAGGGTGGACGCAGATGTGGGTCAGTCTGGGGGATTGAACCGGCGACCTGCCCATCACAAGCTCGCCTTCTTTGACCTCTGCACCACCACTCCCCCCCCCCCCCCCCCCACCAAATAAATCAGACTATAACGATCCTAATCAACCTTTAAATCAATGTTTTCTAACTAGGTTTCCTTTGTCTTCAGACATAATCCATTAATTTACTTTGAAATTAACCACGGAAATCCCTTCATATAATATTTGGTGTCATTGTGAAATTTGGGGGTTGCCCTTATTTTTAAATATAAAGCTGAAGATCCTGATATAACTCCATACATTAAAAAAAAAAATCTAATTTTCAAACCAGCACTCCGGTAAAACCAGCACTCCGGTAAAACCAGCTCGTTTCCTGGTGAAAAAACGTCAAATTTGAACAAACTAGGAGACTTTTTGAAACTTCTGAAGTAAAGAATGTGAATGTAACTTTAAAAAACCCTGATTACGACTCATTTCTGTCAGCAAGTCACATATTCCGCACCCTGAATAATAAAAAAATGAAGGTCGGCCTCTAAAAATAAGCTTAATGATCATTTTAATATAAAACAGCAACAATGGAAGACTTTCAGCCCTCAGTGGCTTGAAGCTGTGCTGAGATTAAAACTGAGGGTTGGTGTGATTCTGCAGCGTCAGCTCCTTACCCTCCTCTGCAGGGGAAGAACCAGAACGTTGTAGTACAGAGTCTGAAGGTTCTGTTGGGGGAAGTAGGGCCACAGCAGCTTGGCCACGTCCTCGTGTTTGTAGTTTCCTTCCGGTAAACCGGTCAACATGACCGTGGAGTACACGGAGCCTGGGTGGAGAGTCGTCTACAGGACGCAACGTTTTAACAACAAAAAACACCTGAACGTTGTGCTTCCTCTGAGAGACTTGCACGTTTTAACTGGTTTACAGTATTACACTGGTAAAATATAATGAACGCTCTTTTTATCCACATTACTGCCGCTCGAAGATTAAATAAAGGTTAAATGTACAGAAAACTGTGCTCACTGTAATGTCCGACTTTTTTTGGATCGTCAAGAAATCTAGGAGACAAAAAAAAAAAAAAAGAGAACTTGTTCAGTCGTCGTTTAGAGAAAGGAAAATAATCTTTAGTAATATTGTATTTTTAAACCTGGGATGTTAAACCAAGGAGAAGCGGTTGGGAAAACGTAGGGGAGGGTCGTCATAGTGATCCAAAATGGAGGCGAGGTGCCCTGAGGAATGCCGTATTTGGCGTTAGGTATGGTTGACCCAGGAATGGCGTCCTTGCTGTCGGGCAGGGCGTTCAGCGGCAGCTGTGGTGCTGCGCAAACAAAAGCAAGGAGGTTTAAATTAAATTAATAACAAAACAGAGTTCTGTAACGATCCAGTAAAAATTAAATTAAATTAGTTTTAAAAACACATTTTTTT